AGGAAGGAAGAAAGGGATTGTTGACCTTGTTTGGACTTGCATTATAGGGAAAAATGAGTTAGATGTAAGGTTTCTGAAATAACATTTGGCTGAATTCCTTAGGAATGCTGGAACCTTGCAGTTAAGTCTAATGCTGTTTCTATTTCTTAGCAAACCGGTAAGAGGAAGAGATACAAATTTTTGCATAGATGGATTTTCTCTTTAAATACACAACATGTTCGACCTCCACCTGGTTTGGGGTGTTTGGATTCCAGCCTAATGCTCTCTGTTGAGATCAGCAAGGGTAGATAAAGTGGGCTATAAATTGTACTTCAAGATTGATGTTAAGTGTTTGAAGAAGGTCTTCAAACAGAGTGTTTTTATTTTTTTTTTCCGAGAAGAAAATAATTCTCTAACTTACTGTCTCTGACTTGTGCTTAGTTTCCAGGTGGCTAGTTTGGTGGGGCTACAGGACGTGGTGAAATACGTGGCGGTCCTGAAGAAGGCAGCCATCTCTCTTCACTACCTTTCCAACGGGCACCAGAAATGGGTGGAACATTTACCAGGAAGGTAAGAACGTATTTTAGGTAGAAGCGTAAACTTCTGACAGGGGCCCTGTTGCCTCGGACAGGAAAGGATGCTTTACTTGCCTTACGCTTTTGAAAACATCCAAAAACAGTAATGTGAGAAGACGGTGCTTCATGGTTGCTGCCTCTCTTGCAGTGAGAGTACTCAGTACCAGTTGTTGTATTCCCATGGGACCGGAGTGATCCACGTGCTTGGAATCGTTCCCCAGAGCCACTTGAACGTTTTAACGTTCAGTGTAGAAGATGGAGAAATTACAAAACAGGTAGTGCTTGATTATGGATCCAAAATACTGAATTTGATGTTAACAGATGTACTTTGATCTAGGTGGGCTGTGGTGTGCTGTGCAGAGTAATTAATTGTTGTAGTACAGATAAACTTCCCTTTCACTGTGGCATTGTCTACGGGCCAATAAATGGATTTCACTGCTGGACGCCCTGAAAGCAAAACTTAATTAGACTTGCAGCTGTTAGTAAAGACCAGCCTGGAAATCTCAGGCTGATAGATAGTTTCTCCCAGGGTCATGGGTAAAAATAATTCTGACTTAAATTCTTGCTTGTGTCCAGATTGGTTCTTTGAAGATTTTGTTCTATTGACAACTTCATCTCTTTGTTTACGTCTCGCTTGGCAGATCAGAGTAGCAGCCCCGTGGCTGAAGAGCTTAAACGGCATGTGCAGCGTGGTGGGAGAGGCAGTGCTGGTGTGCGTGGACATGGACACGCATTCGCTCTATGTTTGCTCCTTGGAGACGGAGCAGGAGATGAAGCAGATCCTGCTGCAGGTGAGAAGTGCCGAAAGAGCACTGTATGTAATTCATTGTCCCGCTGGTTTGGTGCCTGACTGAGCCTGGCAGCGTAGGGGGTTCTCCTGTTGGTAAACTACAGAATGACTGAAGGGTGTGGGGAGGAGCACGATCCATAAACTGAGGGAGGGGAGAGAAAACTGCATCTTGTGTCTGTCTAATCATTCCTTCTGGATTGATGTCTCCGGAGTTTGCTCCAATGGGAGCCTAGTTCTCCTTGCTTCTGCTGTATGTTTATCCTGACATGGGGAACCTCTTCGTAAAGCTTATATTACTGTTGATAAAAGGAAGGTATTAGTTTCAGAAAAAGTTCTGATGAGTGCATATGCTTGTCTCTCCCTTTCACAGTCACTTGACCTGGAGTTTGCTGATGGCTTTCAGCCCAGGATATTGGCCACTCAACCCAATGTAATCAGTGCCTCGCGAACTCAGTTCTTCCTGCAGCTGTCTCCGAGCCACTTCTCTTTGCTGCAGTACAAACATGGGCTGCTCAGCCACCTTCGGGACTTCCAGCAGGTAACCAAGATAAATGTACTCAAGCGAGAGGGCCAACTACAGCTTAAAATTCTTTAAAATAAACAAATACCCTTGTAGTGAGCGTTCGGAACAAACTGCTGAGCTGCTCGTTTGTGCTCTTGGCTGCAAGACTTGAAAACCATTAGATTTAATTTATACTAGCTGCTGAAATATTTCCAGACATCAGTGTAGGTATGCTTTGTTGCCGACAGCTGTCAGCATCGGGGTAGTTTCCTGGTTTTGAGGTGGATAGAGAGACGCACGCCTGTCTGAGTGGCCAGTGGTGCAGCAGTACTTTTGTTAGGCCAGCTGAGAGGTGTTGAAAAGCAAACAAGCTTTAAAAAGCTCAGTAACACTGGTCATATTGGTTCAAAAGCCTGTGGCAGGTCAACTGCTCCCATCTTTGAGAAGTATTTTCAGTCTTACAAAAGACTTTTTCTTTTTTATTTGGTGATACAATGAAATTTAAAATTTGCCTGTGAAATATCATCTGGTTTTAATTCCAGTATGGCTTAATTTGCTGCACAGGTAGTTTCAGGTGGGGTTTGGGGATTTTCTTGTTTGTTTTATGATTTCCTGCTATCTTTTTCTTTTCAGGCAGCTCTGGTGAGTTTTGCAACAACTGGGGAGAAAACTGTGGCTGCTGTCCTGACCTGCAGGAGTGAACTGGTTAGTACAATTTGCCTGCACTATGTAACCAGCACAGCTCTAGCGTGGGTATGCGCTGGGGGTGGGTTCCACAAGTGTTTTCCTTCACAGGCCCAGGGATGGGTAGTAACTTGAGGAAGAGGAGGATTTAATTAGCTTCTCAGACATATGAAGACAATGGTAATGCAAGCAGATCTTGATTACATCCAGCTAAGGCTATCTCTGGCACGCTGTCCTGTGTGCAGCCTGTTTCAGCCTGCCGTAAGGTGGGCATGTAACCTAGGAATTGGCTCTACTGATCTATAGAAGACTTCAGTTCTTAGGGGTACTGAACTTAGCAAGGTTTCATTTTTATCAGGAATAGAACAGGACTGTTTCTGCCTGTTTTCAGAGTCAAGCTGAGGCTTGTCAGGCAC